CCCAGGGCGGCGCCGCCCCGCTCAGTACCTGGCAGCCGCTGCCGCAGCGAGGTTGACGGGCACCATCGACCCTGACATAAGGCTTCAGAAATAATCATCTTCCTTTGCTACCTCCGTTTCCCGTGAGCCCTGCCACAGTCAGCAGACCCAGAGGCCCAAGAGGAGGAGGAAAGTTCACGCTCACCTGCCCTGCAGCGAGGGCACACGAGGACAGAAGCAGCGGGCCAGCGCCGCTGTTTGGGCAGCAAACGCTCAGCTCTTAACGCGCGCGGATGCAGCCTTCCGCCATAACTACACGAAAAGCAACAATTCGGTATTTAAGTCCTAGACTTAAAGAGAACAACATCTTTTAGCCAAAAATGCAGATTTAATTTTTAAGAGGGGTTTAACAAAATAAATACAATGAAACGTGAGAGGAAGAACGGACTCAGACAGCCCTGCAAACCTGCCACCCAGGTGCTGCAGCATGGTGGCTACTAGAAGGGATTCAAACGAAACGATCACGAGCAGGACACTTAACTTCGTGAGGGTTGTGCAAAACAGAAATAGCAAATCAAACGCGATCAAATTTAAACACTGTTATAGATACCATTAACATTTTTAAAATGCTAAAATCCTTTTCATTTCAAGGCAGAAATACAGAACTTGAACTCAAAGCTTCATTATGCTGTCCGGGAAGGAGAGCGCACAACTCCAAAGCCTACCGCTGCTGTTTTCGGAGCGGAGGAGGGAAACGCAGGCAGAAGAGTTTATATCACACCAGTCTCACCCTTCATAAACAGAGGAGGCTGCAAGACTTGAGTGGAACAGGCAAGAGAAGAAAGAAAGAAAGAAAGAACAAAATCTGAACTCATTTCCCCCTTAAAAATAAATTAATTATGCCTTGCCAGGAATGTTTTGAAAGCAGATCTGATGAAGAGATACAAAAAAAAAATCCCGTTAAAATAATTTACATTTACAGGTTTTTTTATTTTTAATGGAAAAATAAAGGCAAACCTTTTAAAAGTAATATTTACTTAGAAACATGTTTTTCATGTAAGTTATGCAAGGCAGTAACAAAATATTGTACATAAGTTCTAATGCGTTTGCAAACCATTACAACCTGTCACGTTCTAAATTAGTTTAGCACTCAACACTTTCCCATTCCCAGCTCTATACCAATGTAAAGCCAATATGAGACATGATTAACTGTTAAGTTAACGCTCTATCAACCATTTGTTGTTCTGTTTCTCACTTGAGAATTACTAGCTGTTTTTATCATTGCGCGTTTCCATTTTACATTACAAGTCCAGGAAAGTGAGTTTACAAGGTTAACAAAATACATATTTAAAAAAATCTAGGCTGATTGCATATAGTCCTGGGAACACCAACTATTGCATCGCCTTCCCCGCCTGGGAAGAGTCGCTCGCTACGCAGGAGGAACGGGGAACAAAGCCACGGCCAACATTTTAATCGGTCTGCAACTTCCTCGTTTTTGACACTAAGCACATCACTGTATGCAGAGAATTATCATGAGTCCTGTCCATGTATTTCTTTTGGAAGTAACAAGCAATGAGCGTGTGATGAATAACTAATATTCACTTTGTTGGAAAACACCAACATTGATGTGTGCTCTATATTGAGCATGATTCTGTGAACACCAAATAATCTCACTAAAACGGCTGTCATTTCCT